CCACGGGACCCCCAGCATCCCCAGTTATGGGACACCCACTGCTCCCCCAGCCATGGGACCCCCCCAGTGCCCTCCCCACCATGGGACCCCCGGCATCCCCACACCCTGGGACCCCCAACGCATCCCCACAGTATGGGACCCCCACTGCCCTCCTCACACGGGACTCCCAGTACCTCCCCCATCGCCCCCCCAGCCAGGGGACCCCCCAGCATCCCCCCACCACAGGACCCCCCGCGCTCCCCCATACCCGAGACGCAGACCCTCCCCCGGCAGGGCAGCCTCTCATCGGTGGGTCCGGCATCCGAGGGGCTGCGGGGGGAAGCGCGGAGCCGTGACGGCTGCGGGGACCCCCTGCTCCCCCCCCCCGTGCTGCTCACCGCCTGGCCGCGCGCTGCATCACCTGCGCCTCCTTCATGCGCTGCAGCTCGGCCATGTAGGCCAGGATGCGGCTGTTGCAGACCTGCAGGCTCTTGGTGGCCTCCAGCGCCTGCTCCCGCTGTGTGCAGGCAGCCAGCAGCTTGCAGGCGCCCTCCCGCATGCGGATCTCGTGGTCGATCTTCTTCTGGATGTCCGTGTCCTGTGGGGTGGGCGGTGTGGCCGTGGGGTCCCTCGGGGGTCCCTCGGGGGTCCCATCCCAGCCAACCCACCCCAAGCTGCTTCAATGCCCCACGGCTCCATCGTGGTACAACGCCCCGGAATGGCTCCTGACCCCCCTGGGGCACCCCATAGCAGAGCCACGTGCCCCATGGATTGCTGAGTGCCCCATGGATGTGCTGAGTGCCCCCATGGATTGCTGAGTGCCCCATGGATGTGCTGAGTGCCCCCATGGATGCGCTCAGTGCCCCCATGGATTGCTGTGTGCCTCATGGATGTGCTGAGTGCCCCATGGATGCACTGTGTGCCCCATGGATGTGCTGAGTGCCCCATGGATGCACTGTGTGCCCCATGGATTGCTGAGTGCCCCATGGATGTGCTGAGTGCCCCCACAGATTGCTATGTGCCCCATGGATGTGCTGAGTGCCCCATGGATGTGCTGAGTGCTCCACAGATGCGCTGTGTGCCCCATGGACGCGCCCCACGTGCGCCATGGATGCGCTCTGTGCCCCATGGATGCGCTCTGTGCCCCATGGATTGCTGTGTGCTCCACGGATGCACTGTGTGCCCCATGGATGCGCCCCACGTGCTCCATGGATGTGCTGTGTGCCCCATGGATTGCCATGTGCCCCACAGATGTGCTGTGTGCCCCATGGATGTGCTGTGTGCCCCACAGATGTGCTGTGTGCCCCATGGACGTGCTGTGGTCTCCCAAAGTGCCATGTGCCCCACAGAACTAACATCCCTACAGAGACATCACCGGCCCTACAAACATACACCTGCCCCACAGGGCAGCCACCAGCCCTACAGCTGTGCCACACACCTTACGGACACACAGTGCACCCCACAATGCACCCCACAATGCACCCCACAGACACACAGATGAGTAGAGAAGACACAAACATCCTAACGTTGCCCTGTGCCCCACAGGTTCCTTGGGCACCCCACGGAAATGCCACAGACCTCACACGCACCACGTGCCCCACAGACACACTGCTCACCCCACAGATGCACTGAGAAGCTGCGTACCCCACACTGACATCGTGTGTCCCACAGATGTGCCCCACAGCTCCACCGTGCACCCATGGACATGCCACGCACCCAGGCACATCTCATACCCTACAGATGCATTACAGACCCCACGGGGAACCCCTACACCCCAGAGACACATCACACACCCACAGGGGACATCTACACCCCACAGACACATCTCATACCCTACAGACACATTATGCACCCCACAGAGGACTCCCACAGCCCCACAGCCACATCACACACCCCGCAGAGGAGCCCTACACCCCACGTGCACATCTCATGTGCCACAGATGCATTACACACCCTATGGAGGACCCTCACAGCCCCATAGACACATCACAACCCCACAGAGGAGCCCTACACCCCACAAACATGTTACAACCCCACAGAGGTTACATGGGACCCCACAGCCCCACAGTCACATCACACACCCCATAGAGGAGCCCTACACCACACAGACACATCTCATACCCTACAGATGCATTACAAACCCCACAGGGGATCCCCACAGCCCCATAGACACATCACAACCCCTCAGCCCCATCACACACCCCATGGAAGACCCCACAAACACATCTCATACCCTACAGATTCATTACACACCCTATGGAAGACCCCCCCAGCCCCACAGCCCCATCTCCCCATGGAGGACCCCACAAACACATCTCATGCCCCACAGACGCATTACACACCCTATGGAGGACCCCCACAGCCCCATAGACACATCACAACCCCACAGCCCCATCACACACCCCACAGAGGAGCCCTACACCCCACAGGCACATCTCATACCCTACAGATGCATTACAGACCCCACGGGGGACCCCCACAGCCCCATAGAAAGATCACGACCCCACAGATACGTTACACACCCCACAGAGGAGCCCTACACCCCACAGACACATCTCATACCCTACAGACACATCACGCACCCCACGGAGGACCCCCACAGCCCCACGGACACATCACAACCCCACAACCCCATCACACACCCCACGGGGGACCCCTACAC